GATTGATTTTGGGGGAATTGTCTCAAAATTTTAGTATTTGCCACTGGACGTTAAGCAACCAACAATCAATCAATCAATCCAAAGTTTTGTTTTTGAATGTTATAAAAATATTCAGGCTTATATTGTGATAATTCAACTTCTCCTGTAGGTCCACCATCTGAGTTAAAAAGTGATCCAGAAGAATTTGACATAAATCAAAATCATGCTACAAACAGAACCATTAAACAGAGTAGTTCATTGTCAGATGAGTTAACAACTCACATGACATTCCTTCCAGCAGCTCCTGGTAATGTTTCAAGATTGAATTTGTGTTCAAATGCTTTATCCCCAGAGGCTCTTAAACCACTGATAGAACATTCAACAACAATTTTCAAAAAAGACATAAGTAAAATTCACAATTATTTATTCTCCCCAAGGGTGACTGGGGAATAGAAATATGGTCACTTGGTCTTCTTCCGACCGGCAGTGAAACGCTTGCCAAAGTGGGGCGTCCGTTTGGCTGTGCGGGATGTATCAAGTTTGCAGTCACGTCCGGTCATAATGGGGGACGTTAAATCCGATGCCTCGTGTAAAGAGAATGCCACGCTCTTTGCACGTTAAAAACCCTTGCAACAACTCTTTGAGGGGTCCGTAGGTGGCCTGTTGCAAGGCAAAATTTTTGTCCCTATCCAATATACTCTCATTTTTCAGTGGCATCCTAGATGTCCTATATTATTACTAGACCCACCTATTGTAGTTATTGTTAACTTGTCATCGTCCTGAACACGCATGCAATATTTGCCACTGGACATTAAGCAACCAACAATCAAGCAAGAACCAGTGTAGAGTGAACATAATCAAATACTTTTAAGGAAAAATTAAAGAAAAAAGTCAAATAAAAGAAAATAACTTGTAGCGATGAAGGTTATGAAAAAGTATAAACTTTCAAGAAGAAAATCTTTACTATTAAATGTGCGACCTTCAGATATTTCGCGGTGTCGTGAAGATGATGCGATAAGAGCTACAAGAAGTGATGCTTTGGGCAGCGATGTTAAGAAGAAATAAGATTTCTTTTTTAACCATAAAAATGTGTCAACTTTACTAGATCAAAAATCAGTATTGAAAGATGGGAAAGAAAAAAAGGTATTAATTAGAACACTGTTAGATTCGTACAAAGATTTCAAAGTTGACCATCCTGAGGTGGAAATAGCTTTTTCCACCTTTGCTGCAAATAGACCATCTCATATAGGAACATAAAAAAAACAGCAGTCGTACAGCGGATTGTGCGAATGTTGCACACATATAGATTTTAAGCTTAGATCCCTCAATACATTTGCAACAAAAGTAAAAAAAAAACAAGAAATAAGGATACGTGACAAATATGATGCAGTAAGTATCACTTTGTGCAACAAAGGTGAAAATCAGTTTCATAAACTCAAGTGTATTAACCGTGGATGTAATGACTGTCAGACAGATCTTTTCATGGCCCATTTACAGCCTTTACTTCAGGACTATGGCACCCAAATTGTTGAGTACACCAGATGGGAAACTTCTAAAATGCGTAATAAGCATGGAAAAGATGTATCAAGGGTTATGATGGTAAAACATAGAAAAAGGCTTCAGGATATGGTATTGGAAACAATGACCGAGTCATCAAAACTCTCCAGACATCTTTTCAATGCCACATGTCAAAGATATACCCGTAAATTGAATCTTGACTTTGCGGAAAACTATGCGTGTGTAAGTCAGACGAAGATACAAACTGCACATTGGTATTATCAACAAGTCACGATTCACCCCATTGTTACGTATTGCAATTGTCATCAATGCCAAGAAACAGTTCAAGAGACTAAGTTATTCATCAGTGATGACTTAATGCATGATGATCATGCTGTCCATAAGTTTGTATCTATGACAAACGAACACTTATAACAGAAAAGAATGATCAACATTCAGCATGAAATTCGGTTTTCCGATGGCTGCTCAAGTCTATATAAGTCGTTTACCCCATTGTGTGATTTTTCCTATTCGCTCCAGGATTATGGCTTTATTATTGACAGATATTTGTATGGATCTAGGCACGGGAAAGGGCCCTGTGATGGGGAAGGGGCAGTCTAAAACATATGGCAAGAATATCTTAACACAGAAATTAATCCGTTGTTATATGATGCATATTGCACAACCAAACCGTTGGATGAAACAGGAACCTATTCTTGGTATATCTTTGTAAACAATATAACTAATGAAAATAATTTAAAACTATCTGATATTGAAAATATTGACTTTATAAAAGAAAAAAAGAAAATGAATATACACATGAAAGAGATTATGCAAGAAAATTATAAAAAGCTGTTCTTTAAAAATATTTATCTATAGTAAATTTAAAAAGAAATATGAAACTGAGCCTTATTTACTGAAAGAAAATAACTTTGATTTACTTAATTAAGGGTTAGTGACCATATTTTGGAAATTGAAAGGGGCAGATACAAAAATATAAAAAGAGAAGAACGTTTATGTTAACATTGTTGTCTAAATAAAATAGATGACGAAGAACATTTTTTATTTACATGTACAAAAAATGAAGATTTGAAATTTTACAGAAAGTTAAAAATATCTATTCTGATATAGAAAATATAGATAATTTGGACCAAAAAATACTGTCCTAATAACTTTTCTTTAATTCCAGCAAGGTTTCAAAAAAAAATAATAAAATAGGTAGGTTCTGTAATAAGGGGCTTCCGGGATTAAGGTCGGAGAAATTTAGACTGCCTCAGGAAGTGAGAGGGTATATTGGATAGGAACAGAAATTTAGCCTTGCAACAGATCACATACGGACCCCTCAAAGAGTTGTTGCAAGGGTTCTTAACGTGCAAAGAGCGTGGTACTCTCCTTACACGAGGCATCGGATTTAAAATCCCCATTCTGACCGGACGTGGCTGCAAATTTTTACATCCCGTACAGCCAAACGGACGCCCCACTTAAGCAAGGGTTTTACTGCCGGTAGGAGGAAGACCAATGGTGACCATACTTCTATTCCACAGTCACCCTTGGGGTTTTGTAGCGTGGTCAATTACATCAAAGTGTTGATGGTCATCACTTAATCAGTTTAATGAGTTGCGCAGTAGAATCGGAATAACCCTTTGGGGGGGGGGGGGGGGGGGGGGGGGGGGGGAGGGGGATGTTTAAAATTACAGGACCACGTCATATGAACCAAAGAAACACGAAAAGTCACACTAAAGCAAATTGATTATTTACAAATAAAAATCAACACTAAGATAACGTGATAAAAATTAAAATCGTTTTAAATATAACAACATTTTTTATATTTTATAATATATTCCAATTTCTTTTAAGAATGAAACAATATTTGTAAATGGAACACTATTAAATAAATCATACATATTATTGACATTGAAATACTTCTTACGAATATCAGCAAAGTCAATACAATTAATTAAAACATGTTTAATAGTATACTTGCAGTTGCAAGGTACACATTGTGGTTAATCTTCATATTTTAAAAGATACTCGTGTGTTATTCTAGTATGACCAATACGACATCTAGAAATAACACACTGATCTTTTCTGCACATGAAATTATTGAAAGGTTTACTTAAATTAGGTTTAATTTCATGTAATTTATTATCATCTGTTTTACTCCATTCATTTTTCGATATATTAAAAACGTATTCTCTAATATTATTTATTGTTTGATATCTCAGTTATTTCTGGAAAAAAAACCCAGGATCCACCAACTGAGCACATAGAAACAGATATCAATAACAAATATGACAGCATTGAAGACGTAAGTGTGATGACGAATTGATTGAAGACCCTACTATTGGACAATCAAACACACATGTTAAGTCAACCCCATCATTTGAAACTCTTGGTTTAATAGCTCTTTTGTGAGCAGCAACCATTTATCAAGGAAATACAAGCTTGGGAATATTGTATAAATTGGGAAATAAATAAGTCGTTTCTCTCTAATATGTCGGCTAAGGACAACAGGGCGAAGCCCTACATTCTGTTGGTTTTTTGGTGTTCTTGAACAGCACATACTTCCTATTCAAATGACAGTAATACACATACCTCTTTTGAATGATAATCATCTCCCCATTTAAGAGCTCCGTCAA